TTCATCCATGTCATTTGATAACCCCTAACATTCCACCCATATATCCAGGTTTTTCTCAAACATGAATTCACACTAACTTCATGCTTACTCCCTCAATTATATAATAATTGGTCAATCATCAAGGTAATTTTCTATAGGCACACACGTATGAACGTTGATCCCCCAATATCACATTGCATGAGCGTGAGCGAGTGCCTACAATCAGCCTCAACTTTCCAATCTATCTTTAAGGATTTCCTTCCTTAATGCCTCACGTTGGTAAATATGAGGTTGTTAATGTACCATGTTCAACCCATTCAGAGCTAGAACCAATCCTTCCCGCTTATGAGACCATTGATAATGGGATAAGCAAAAGCTCGAGTGGGGAGCCCAACACACTGGTAGGTCCTATTACTATCGAGAATGTGGAGCTCTCATTCCTTGGACATCAAATAATTTAGAATAATGTGGAAAACCTAGAGAACATGTTCTTTTATAATGAGTTCGTTGAATTCATACGTACCACTAAGGAGTGCGATGCTTATGATGGTTTTAACGTCCTAATAGGCTATTTTCATGAGAACTTCGAGGGCATCATTCTGGATCATCTGTATGAGGGCATGACATTTGGGAGCATGGAAGTACTATAATGTGTTCGTAATGGTTGGTTAATAATAAACAGCGTTGAGTACAAAAAATCATGATCAAACAAGCAACGACGTATAGTTACATGTGCTCAGCATGATTATCGAACTCATCATTGTCTATGTCAAGTCCATGCCTCTATGACAAACATAATCGGATGTGTGCACATAAGCACCTGGGTGGGGTTTGGAAGATTTCATCGATCTTCAGTCTGCTTATGTGCACACATCCGATTATGTTTGTCAGACATCGTAATAGCAGTTCAAAGTTCATATGCCATCATATAGCTGCGGTGTTAAGGCAATAATTATATTTGAAGTCAAGAGAGATCATTGCATGCATTAGCTCCAAATTCAATGTGAAAGTCTCATATATAATGGCTTGGGATGCAAGAAGAAAAGTGACATGCTCAATTTTTGAGAGTTATGAGGAGTCTTACACTTCCTTATACCGGATGATGAAAGCAGTGTGCTTAGCTATCCCCAAATATGTTTACAATATTGAAGTTAGTTAGTCATGACATTAGGTTCAAAGGAATATTTTGGACTTTTTGCCCAAGTATACAAGGGTGGAAATTCTGTCATTATGTACTATGTATGGACAAGATATTTCTCTAAGGAAAATACAGAGGTACATTACTAGCAACTATTATCATAGATTATAATGGTAGTCTTTATCGAGTGGCCTTTGTAGTCGTTGAATATGAATTAGTAAAATCATGGATTTAGTTCATATGCTTTGTGATCTCATTGCCCTAGTATAAAATGATCGTGACTTAAGCATCATATTTGATAAACAACATGGCTTGGTGTCATGCCCCAAAATCTAAAGTGGGAAAATTTCTTTTCTTTTCTCTTTATTATCTTTGCAACTCATTCTTTTTCACTTTAGATTTTGGGGCATATCAAATTGGTATAAAAGAAATGGTTAGTAGAAGGATTTACTTATAATTAGAGCTGGATTAATGATTTCATTATTTATTGATTAAATGTGTTTATAAATTTATTTATTTTGTAAATTTTTTTTGTATTTATTTATTTAATTTTGAAGGATTTATTTTGTATTTGATATTTATTTGTTAAACAGGAAAATGGATATGAAAGAAATGAATTTCTTCCATTTTAAATCTTGGGGTGTTACACCTAGTATGTGGATGTAGTGAAATTGTCCATGGGCCGCCCACTAACATTATCTGTGTCACTTGTGAGAGAATTTCAAAAAAGCTTTAAGACGTCTAGCCATCAGGAATTGTGATGTTGTTTGCGATAGAATGTACTGGGCCAAAAATACTAACGATATTAATGTTCATAATAGGTACATGGTCGACTAACAAAATATTAAAAAGAAGCCTTTGATTGGTTGTTGGAGCAGAATGCTAGCAAGTGAACTTTGACTCATGATGTGGGTTGTCGATATGGAATTATAACACCAAATTATTCTAAATGCTTCAACATAGTCCTTAGAAGGGCTCGTTGACTGTCTATTCAAGGTCTTATTATAATTGTTTATTATAATCTTGTTACATTATTTCTTAAGAGAACAAGCAAGATCAAAGAATGAATTGCTTCATATAGTTCGACATTTTCTTCTTGTGCAAAGGCTGCCTTGCAAGCAGCTGAACGTCATGAACTTAGAAGTCTACAACTAGCACAAATTAACAATCACAAGTTCAAGGTGTTTGACATATCCTGCAAATCATACTGCATCATCATTACATCCCCACAAATGTGTACTTGTACAAATGGTCATCCACATGTATATCATAGCCCATGCGTGCATGCTATCATTGCTTTAGGCGCAAGACATTGGGATCACAACTAATTTGTTTTAGCCTATCACACACTAGTTTATTACGAAGCAAGTTACTTCGATTTATTTCTTATTATATCGTATAACAACTTGTGACCATCTTATAGTGACGAACAGGAGATAGTGCCTTTGTTGGCACCTGCTATTTGATATTGCGCCGGTAGGCCTAGAACAACTTGATATCATAATACGATTGACGGAACATATGCATTGTTATCTTGAACTTGCATCGTCTACCGTAGCAGGGGTCAGAACAGCGCGACGTGTCCTGGCAATCCAAATAACAATAGATAATAAAGTATAAAATTATTTTGCTTGAAAAATGAAAAAAATTACAATCAAATTGTGTAAAACCTTCTGATATAAAATAAAAATATCTAACCTATCATTCTGCAATAAGTGCCTAACATATCATTTCAATTTTTTTTTTTCATATAACATATAAAATAAAAATAATATATGAGTGATAGAACTATAATATTAAATTTTTTTTATTAAATTTGTAAATAATATGAAATGAGATGGTATTCAAATCCCTCCTAATTATTGTGTCTGGACACCGAACGCGTTCAGAGATTAATAACATGAGTCTTCTATAATAGCTTTCTGTAAAGAGAATATAAAAACCTTCATTAAGTTAGTGAATTACTAGGAGATTATTAGTTGAAAAAAACTAATTTGGATTTCAATCATATGGCTACTAATATTAGTGAGCTTTCACTCATAAAATAATTTAGCTTCATGTTTGCTCAGTCTACATGATCTTAAACATTTTTATTGCATATTTTCTACATCTACTAACCACTAAAAAGGATTTAGTGTTTGACTTATGGACAAATTAAAGCATATAGGCATATTTCTTTTTTGTTTTTTTTACTCTCTTTATGATATTATGATTATAATTGATATAAAGAGCATTGTCATGTTTATTATAGACATGTGATATGGCCATAGCCAAGGCGAAGGGAGAGGGGAGGGAAGCAGATTCTGATGGAAGTAAAAAAAATATAATAGATAAAACAAAAAAAAAACTTTTTGTTATCTAAATACTTCACGTGCAAAGGATAACAGAGAGCCTAAAATATCTCTTTTGTTTCTTCACTAAAAATATATAACCATAGAAAAAATTAGAAATATTTAAAACTGTCTGAAATAAAAAAAATAAAATAAAATTGATACATACTCCAAAAATTATCTTGATTGGGCACGA